GCTATTAACATTTATGGTGAGCTAGATGATTTTGACAGGTTCTTAGCTTACCGTTCTTTTCTGAGAAAACCCTCCATGGAGATTGGGCGTCACCTTCATGCTGGACCTTTAAAGAAGGAGGAACGCATGATTCTCCATCTAATTGTCTGGATCCTATGTCCTCGAGCTACAAATCATGCCCAATGTTCTTCCATTGATCTTCATATTATTCATGCCATAATGAATAATGAGCCGTTAGATTGGGGCGTTCTTGTCACAATGACCATGTTAAAAGCAAAACGTCATCCCACATTCAAAATTCCATATGCTTTACTTGTCTCTCGTATTCTTGAATATAAATGAGTGAATGTTGAAGGTGAACAAGCAGTTAGAACAAATAACTTGAACCGCATGCTGACAGCACATTGATTCAACTCCAAATGGTGCATGTCAATGATATTTATGTTCACAAAGATGATGTTCCTAATCAAGGTGAAGCTAATGAAGATTCTGATGAAGATATGCCTCCAGCTGCTGAGTTTCCCTTTGACCAAATCCAAAGTATTGGAACTTCCTCTACTCATCATGAAACCCGACAATCCATGGAAGACATGTTATCTGACATGAATCAGAGGATGCAATCATTCTTCACTCTTTCTGGACTACGGCATGAGGCAATAATTCGCCGTATATCTGATGTAGATGATAAAGTGTGCCGTTTAGAAAATAGATTTGATGCACACTTTAATGATGATGATAGTGCAGAATTTTAAATTTTGTTGATTATTTTCTTTTTGTTATTTTCTCTTGTTATTGTAATGAATGATTGTTTCTACAATAAAATATGATGTTTCTTTAATGCTTTGATTGAGGGGGAGTTATCTCCAACTTATGCATATTTTGAGGGGGAGCTCTTATGATTGTTATTGCAGAGTTATTTTTTATTATAATCAAAATAGGGGGAGAAATATTTAAAGCCTCTTATGAATTGCATTTAAATATTATCTGGTATGTTTAATGTGTTTGTTACTATGACAGATAAAATAGGTTATTATAAGGCTTTAAAAGATAATTTTGATCATCATCAAAAAGGGGGAGATTGTTGAACATTCAAGGACTTGATGTTGCACTTGATGAACATGAAGATTGTTGATTTTGATGATGATTCAAGAACACAAAGACTTAGAGTGTTGAAGACTTGTTTTGTATTGTAATAACTCTGTTTCAATTAGATTGAGTCTGTAATATTAGAGTTTAAGATAGCCGGTACATAATCTGCACCTTAAAAGCTTCAAAAAGCTCATATTTATCATCCAGGCTTGGCTTTAATCGATTAAATAGGGAAATAATCGATTAAAACAGTGAGAAAAATCATTTTCTGTAACAACTCACTGGTTTAATCGATTAAACCAAATTTTAATCGATTATCAGGCGGTTTAATCGATTAAATCACCTTTTAATCGATTAAAACAGAGAGGTTTGGGTTCTGTTGATATTTGGCTATGTTTTAATCGATTAATACTTCTTTTAATCGATTATTTCAGTCAGATTTTGATTTTTAACTTCAAATCAAACCTATTTTCGAAAACCCTTTTCTCAAGAACCCTAATTCCGAAAATCCCAATTCCCAAACCCTAATTTCTCTACTTAAACTCTTCTATGGCACTCAGAAAAGAAGAACAACCTTTTTCATACAAAAGTTAAGTGTTGTGAGTGCCAGAGAACTGTTTGTTGCAAGAAAAAGGGGCTTTCTGAACCTGGTGTGGGCTAGAAGCGATAAGAATCACTAAGTGGAGTTCTTAGTGGATTGTGTGTTGTGCTGTCTCTGGGGAAAGCTATTTTTCATCTCTTGTGGATTTCAAGAGAGGTGTTATCTTTACTTTATCTCTTCCATTGTAACTTGTTTGTAATAACTTTGTTTATAGTGACAGCGTTAATCCTCTGTTTGAGTGATTAGCAACTGGATGTAGGGTCTTTTGATCCGAACCAGTATAAATTTCCTGTGTAAGACTCTATCCCTTTCTCTATTTACATTTACACAGTTTTTAATCGGTAAAATTTGGGGAAAATTTTGAAAACCTAATTTTTATTAAGAAACCAATTCACCCCCCCTCTTGGTTTTTGTCCGACCACGCGAACATTCCACTGCGCGATTCTAACAATATGAACATTTTCTATGTTAAGTAATTTTAACAGATTGAAACTTCTTTTTAACAGATTAAAAAACTCAGTTTGTTCTTTTAATGCTTAAAGGTTGGTTTTCCATGTAGTAAAATAAGTTCAATGAGATGCATCATTTTAAAGGCGCTTATCACAAGATCTATTGAACTATCAAGAGATTAAATTCTAAACCTATAACCTATTCACCTACACACCCACAAAATAAACTCTATAAACTCTATATGTCTTCATCAAATCCAACAAGTGCTTCAAACACGTCACCAAACCCTCGAATTGACATAACAAGATCAGCCCACAACTTTATCTTTTCCAACAGGCGACATGGAGAGTACATGTTAACCACAATACACCGAACACCACCATTTCCCCAACTCAAACATACACCTAAGTAACCCAGCCCAGAAAAAGAAAACTATAAGGTACCTTGAGTCGAGTCCCAAATCGAAATAAGTCCACCACTGCGCCCCTGAGAAGGACAACTTAGCCAATCAAACCCAGACGAACCCCAAATTCGCGACCACAATTGGCGGTCACAACCCTCCAACTTTGACTCCTGTAATACAATAAAATTCACACGTTCACATCTAATCAGCTCGGAGACACGACAGCGTTTAACCTCCGACCCCAGACCCCTACAATTGAAAGAAGCTATCTTCATGGATCAACCGATTCTCCCCTCTTTTTTTCCACCAATTCTCTGTCACAGATCTCCATAGCCACTAATTTCTCCCTCACTTCTGATTCATTATCCCGCACCACAATCTCCATTGAACGAAACAATTCCATCACATTATCTGCCACCACCTCATCAGTCGCACATAGAGCGTAAACCTCCAAAGACACGTCAATGTCACTATCGGACACAACATGATCCGGCACCAACAATGTGACCCCATCCTCCACCAACGCACCAATACAACTCTTTTGACCCATGATATTCCTACCACGAGCTTTCCTTAATGTGTGTCGCACATTGGATCGCCCGGCAGAAACTCCCAATTTGGTTGGAATGGGGACCCCAGGAACACCAGTGTCTTGTGCAACCCTTGATACTTCCTGGGCATGCTCTGGCCAAAGCAATTGATCCAACTCGAACGGATCACTACCAGATCCATTTACCTTGCCCACATGACACAGTAACTCCTGCGTATTCACCCCCTTAGACTGAATACCACCCATACTCTCTGCCACACCACCTTGTCCAGCATATCAACTGTGCACATGCTTTCGGCCAACACCATCCGGCACTACTACCGAATCTTGTAGCCTCGCTGAAGGCCTCACTTCTAGGATTTCCTCAACCACCGTCTCCGCACCCACTCCCTTATCATTAGGAGGCAATTTCTCCTCCGTAACAGCCCCCACAATCGGCGTGCCAACCACCGTCCCAGACCATACTCCAACCACACCATCTCCAATGCGCCCTTCTTCCCCCGATGAATAATTTTTTACCTCATGCAAGTCCAGAGACGCACCTTCCATTTAATCAGAGCCAATCGAGGATTCATCATCAGCAATATCCGCATGGAACTGACCTCCATGCTCCTCCACCATGCGTATCGTGAAGCATAAATCATTAATAAGTATTTTCGTCCCCTCATTTATCAACACCGAAGCCGATGTACGTAATTGAACACGTCCATAATCCAGTCTCCTCCTCCGCTTCGTAACCTCATCCACCTAAATAAATTCCCCTAGGCATGACACCATCTTCTTAAAAAACGTATCAGACCACGTATGTAACGGCACCCCATAACAGCGAACCCAAGTTTCCTGTTGAGCACACACCTCTGTCCTTGGATGCCACCAACCGACTTCATAAAACCAACGCTCCCAAATCTTCCTATTTTGCAACACAGTATCCTCTAGGTTCACCCCTACATCTAACTCGATCAGGACTTTATCATCTCCCATCGTGGTCAGGACAATATCTGAGAAGCTCGCCTGTAACACCTCCTTCCTAACCCTAGTCAAGTCCTGTCTGCGATTGAGGCAACCACAAGAGTTTGAAAGCACTCCTCAAGAAACGACTCCTCCACTGCATAGTGTAAAGGACACCAGTGTTGTTCTGGCCGCTTTCCCTCAACTCTAATCACCGTTGTCTTTTCCTCCGCCAACGAAACCTAAGGGCCTCGTAGAGCATCTGCGTATGAAGAACCACCCACACCTGATCGCCTAACTACTCCCTCCCTGATGCTATGTAGTTTCACCGCAGCCACAGACCCCCTAGCGTAACGGCTCAAATGCACCTTCAGTCATTTCGTACCAATCACAATTGATCCCAATCTCTGTTCCATCGTCTTCGCATTACAAACATTTGCAAAGCGGACAAACCCAAACCTCCTCCCTACTTTATCAAGTTTCTTGGGTAAAAATACATCCACCACCTTACCCAACTACCGAAAAATTTCCCATAGAGTACCGATTTCAAGTGGCTCCGAAATATTCGTAAAAAATATGATGTTGAGGAGCTTAAGACACGCGCTAAATTCCCCCCAAACCCCTTGTTTTGACTCCCATTCCGTAACTCCCTCGACTGCCCTCCACTGCTACCTCTCTCCCAAACTCTACCATGGGCATTACTATCCCCTGCTCTCATACTACCTTTTTTCCTTATCATCTATCTAATCCCCTTAGGGTTCAACTTAACTACCAAATATTCCAATTATCTCTTAATCTTTCAACTTTCAAACCTCCACTTGACTAAAACGAGAATTTACCTTGTTTCAATTACCGAATGCTGAAGAGTGGAGACAATAACTTTACCTTTCCATTCTTGTAAATCCCATAAGCATTTTTCACTTTCATCAGCTTCTCCGCAATCTACCAGGACCTTCCAGATGGCCCCTACCAAGCAAAAAGTCCACAAGTCTACCGGCGGCAAGGTTCCTCTGAAGCAACTGGCGACGAAGGCTGCTCGTAAGTCTGTTCCGGCAATCGACGGAGTGACAAAGCCCCACAAGTTCAGGTCGGAACCTGAGGCTCTTCAATTAGTGTATTGTCTGGTACCTTTGAATCACGACACCCTTGTCGCTGCCGTCAAAACGAGGCGGTCGGAGCGACGCGATGGTTTCGACTTTCCATTTTTCGCGTTTTTATTGGTGCCTACAACGCCTTTAGGTTGTCCGATAACCGGGCTGAACCTAGGGGCGAGGTTTTCGAAAAGGCGTTCTTGGGTTGTCCGATAACCGGGCTAACCCACGAACTAGTTTTGAAGGGTTCTATGGAGTCGCCACCGATGTTTTACCCGGAAACATCGGAAAAGGGTTTAAAAAGGCGTTATTTTTCGAAAAACCAACTTTGGTCGTTAGAACCAGAGTTGGGTAAGGGAGTTAGTTACGTGTAAAGGAAGTGTTAGTTCCTTTATGACGCACCTTTCGGGTTCCCTATGACAGGCCAACTTATTTAAATGATTAAACCGGAGAAATACGCTTTTACCCTTTTATTTGCGGAATTTAAAATTACGACTACATGGCCCTAGTATCTATTGCATAATTTAAATAAAGCAGTAAAAGATAGAGGGAGAAAGTAGAAACCTCCAGAGCAAGCTTTCTATTAATTCTTTAAAAAATAGGGTGCTTTGCGGCAGCCCTTCACTCTACACAGCATTGGAAACCTCTTGAAACACTAAAAACACTCTTAGAAACGCTCAGAAACTCCGGAAATGCTTTGGAGGGGTTCTAGAGAGAGAATCTAGTGATGTGACTAGAGAGAGAGTGAGAGAACTATGTGGAATGAGGGGAATGGAGGCCCTATTTACAGGAATTCGCGCCTGTCAGGTCGAGACGAGTCGTCTCGTCTGACAAGGTCGAGACGGCCGTCTCGTTGCCGTCTCGCCAAACGAGACGACCGTCTCGACCCCCAAAAGGCGAAAATCCTTATTTTTGTGCCAAAAAAAACCCTCATATCCTAGTATGGGGCCTAATAGTCTCTCCTAATGGCTTCTTAGGCTTCATCCATCTTCAAAAAGGAGGTCTTCTGGTCTTTATTATGAGGTCGGGCAAGATTTGGGGTCTACAGCTGCCCCCCCTTTACCCGACTAGTCGACTGCTGGCTTGTTGTGCCAAGGAGATCGACTGGAGGGTAAAGGAGTTGACCCTCTTGCCCAGTTTTCCTTCGGATGTTCCGTCCTCGTGGCAGATGATCCTCTTGGGAAATTTTGTGTTGTGCGCTTCTGGGATGCTCCTTCTGACGGTAGCTGATCCCTTCAGCTAATGAGTACAAACCCTCATCTGGTTTGACGAGTATGAACCCTCACCCGGTAAGCCCCCTTTTGTAAGGCCTGATGAGTATACATCCCCATCTGGTGTTCGACGAGTATGAACCCCCGTCCGGTAAGCCCCCTTTTGTAAGGTCTGATGAGTATACACCCCATCTGGTGTTTGTGCCTCCAGATGCTCCTTCTTGTGGTAGCTGACCCTTTGGTTGTAGTGGCGGCTTACTGCTCTAGCTCATGTGCCGATGTTTGAGATGTGTTCTCTCGTCTTCTGAGTTTTGTCCAGTCTGTGCCGGGGATCTTATAGGTGTCCATCCAACTTGTTGATTGCTAGGGATTCTTTGTTTTTTATCTTTTGGTGGTGATCACCCCACTCTTGCTGGTTGGTTGGGTGATCTTTGTTTGTTGCTTGACTCTTGCTTGGTCGTCGAAATTGTTGGTTGAGGCGATTGACTTGTTTTAATCCTGCCTTTTCTTTTCGCGGTTTTATCTCTTTTTTCTCGCGATTTCGGATTTTGGCTTTTTTCTTAAGCGTATGTCTTTTTACTCTTAGTTTTTTTTTATTACGCTGACTTTTTTAGAAGAAGTAGCGGAAAGATGCATGGAATAAAAAAAAAATTATTCATAAGGGAAAATTTTATTACAGCCGTTTTTTCCTAGCACTATCCCTAAGGGCTATCTTCTGGAGACGATCCATGATAGGGGAATTTTTGATACAAATGTTCCCGGAATTCTGCTTGCTCCCGGGCTTCGTCGCGGTATTCTTTCTGGAATGTTGTCCAGTCCTGCCGTATTTCCTACTGATATTGGTACATCGTCTCCAGCCGAGTGTCAAAGGCTTCCTGCCTTAGGGACAGTTGCTCCTGCCGCACATACATTTGATCGAATTGCTGGCGTAGATCGTTGATGTTGCGATTTATGCCAGCAAAGTCGTCTGTGTATTGCGGTGGTTGTTGGTGCTGATGTGGCTGCTGGAAGTCGGGAGGCGTTGGGAGATCGTGCATCACCACGATGTCCTGGAGGTCCAGCGCAAAATCCAGCGAGGGATGAAGGACCAGTTGGGTCCCACGGTGCATCAGCATTCCCATGCTGACGAGTACCAACCCGTTGATGGTTTCGGGTCGGAGGCTGGGAGCCAGTTCCTCCCTACCAGCACACCCCCATTTTTCTGTCAGGGGAGTGATAAGAGGAGCCATGAGGACGACTCCCACAGGCCGACACCCGAAGTCCTTAAGGGACCTCAGGAAGAAGTAGTCAGGGTTGCAGCATCGCCTCTGGCTCATGCAGTAAAGTACGAAGAGGTCTGGGAGGGTTACCTTACCCTGACTCTCCTTCCTCCCATGGACAGTCCCAGCCAGCAACTTGTGGCAAATGCGGAGGGCTGGGGGGAGTGTTGACCCCTTCATCAGCGTGGGCAGCGTGGGCGACCTTGTGAGCTCCTCCCACATTTCGGCGGCGGTGAGGTTGGTGGGCCGGCTGCAGATGGCCTCCCGGTACTCCCGAGTTAGTACATCCTCGGGCCGGACGAACCCAATGCTCACATTGAATTCGTCAAGGGTGGTAGTCTGGTACGTCCCACCCATGAAGTAGTTCACCATCTTGCTGGGTGGCAGGCCCGGGACCATGGAGGGAGCCTCGGCATAGGAGATGGAGGCCAGGAACTCCAGTACTACCTGAGGGTACACGTGGGTAGGTGGAGGCTGCAACAGGAAGCCCCACCCAATGCTATCTATATGGGCCCGGACATCGTCCTCCCACCCAAACTTGGCGAGGATGCTGAAGTCAAGCCTGAGCACGGGGTGCCATGTATAACCCCGGATGTGCTCGAGACGGGCTAGGTGTTGCGGTGAGAGCTGAGTAGGATCTTGGGGGGCTGGTGCCGAGGAATTGCTAGCGCCGGCAGTGCCTCTTCTCTTTCTTGATTGGCTTCCACGAAACATATTGGCCAGAAAATGCTCAGAAGTGAGAGATCTGAGAGTTTGAGGTTCTTGGGTGCAGAGGAGTTGTGAGGAACCCCCCCAAGCGCCCTCCCTATATATAGGGAAAAAATTCAACTCGTGACCGTCGTCTGGGAAGTCGAGACGGCAGTCTCGATTTTTTGCAGGTCGAGACGGTCGTCTAGGATCTCGAGACGGCGGTCTCGAGTTTGGGTACAAACGAGACGGCCATCTCGTCAAGCGAGACGGCGGTCTCATTTTTGCCTAAGTCGAGACGGCGGTCTCGATTTGCTGAGGACCGAGACGGCGGTCTGGAAATCCCAGACAGCCGTCTCGAATTTTCGGTTAATTTTTTTTTTTTGAATGTAAATAGGACCTGGTTCAAAAACATATTTTATGCATGCAATGTTTTTATATTTGATGTCCTATAATGCCTATTTTAATTAATTTTTCAGAAGGATTTAACTGACGTGTCTCGTAGCGTCGAAAGCCTCCTGATCTATGTTCTTGTATTTGGTTGTACCATGTCGGACTTCTTATGACTGAAGGATAACTTGTTTTTCCTCTCTTTTTCCTTTTCTTTTTTGTAGAGCACTCTTTGCCATGTAGTCTCCCTTTTTCTCCACTTTAGGGGTTTCAATCCTCTTGTTGACTATACGCCTCCATATTCCCAAATTAATTATTAGAATATTGTTGTGAGGGTCAAGAGAAAAGAAGTAAAGGGATAAATTTAATGGCTTGTGTTTTAGAAGGTCGATTTTTATTTAGAAAGAGGTTTTTGTAAGAATGGTTGGCTTTAGGGTTAGGCCTAGGTGTTTAGGCTTCGTCTAAGCAAACGTTTTTCCCTTTTTTTTTTATATTTGCGCCTTAGTTTTATTTCCATTGCTTTTTATGGCTAGTTGATTTCCCTAGATCGCCCTTCGGGTTTTCGAACTAGGATATCGTGATTTGGCCCTAACTTTCGTCTAGGTTCCTTCTTTTTGTATTTTTGGGGAATCCTAGCAGACCTTATTTTGTATCCCTAATTTCTGCCTAGGCTACCCTTTATTGTTGTTCGAGTATCCTACCGGGTCGACCCTATCTTTTGCGTAGCCCCCTTAGTGGGTTTCCTACTGGGTATTTTGCCCTTTTCTTTGGCCTTTGGCTTCTATGGGCTTTTTTTTTTGGTGTATTTATTTTTTGGTTCGCAATATTGACGAAGCATGACTTTCTTTATGATGAGGTAAAGCCTTATTTTTTGTGCTTCTAGTCAACTAGCTTGATCGTAATGACAATGATAAATATTGATTATTTGGATGCACTTTTTATTCTTCTCCTTTTTACTTTTAGTTAGACAGGGTTATTTATGTTGTCTAGTCAGAAATAGAAAGAAGAGAAGCAGATAGTAAGAAGTATTCTTTATTAATTAATAAGGGAATATGTGCCCTAAAATGCCCGGGGGTCGGGCTAGCCCCGGGGGATAATCTCTAACAATCATGGGGTTTACATCCCTTAAATAAAGAAAAAGGTTTCCTAATGACTAGGGTAGCTCTTGACGCTTACACCCCTCCACTTCGGAAAATTTGCTTGAGTGTGCAGAGGGGAGACTTCCCTTTTCTTCTTTCGCTTGGCCCTTAGTAGGGTCATATCCTAGGCCATGCTTGTAAGGATTGTCTTTGAATTCTGGGGGTTCCCTTATGCCTTGGGCATCTGCCCCCAGTCCTTGGCCAGGATGGTAACCATGCTTCATCATCATGCGGGCTACCTTGATGCTTTTGGGAAGTCGCTCTATAGTGGCAATTTCGAGCGCTTGAAAAGATGTTTCAAGGGCCTCTTCAGCCGCATCCACATAAGGTTGGGTGGACGGTCCACTGATCAGGATATCATCTTCTGCTTGGACTGTGACCAATTTGACATCCACTATGAACTTGACTTTC